CGTTATGAAATCAATCTACCAATTCTTCATCTTCTGTTTCTTATTACCTTTCTCTGTAATTTCCACTGATTACGATAATCTGATCTTCAAAGGTTGTGCAAACCAGAAATTTCCAGACCCAACTGGTGTTTTCTCTCAGAATCTCAAAACCCTTTTCGTTTCCTTAGTTTCTCAATCCGCACAGAGCTCCTTCGCATCCACAACCTCCGGAACCGACAACACAACCGCCGTCTCCGGCGTTTTTCAGTGCCGCGGCGATCTACACGCCGCTCAGTGCTACGATTGCGTCAGCAAAACACCGAAACTCGTCTCTAAACTCTGCGGCGGAGACGATAATGTGGTGGTGGCTGCTCGTGTGCAGCTCTCCGGTTGTTATCTCCGGTACGAAATCACAGGATTCCGACAGACTTCCGGTACGGAGATGCTGTACCGTTTATGCGGTAAAAAACACTCCGGCGATACTGGGTTCTCCGGGAAGAGAGATACGGCGTTTGGTATGGCGGAGAACGGCGTGAAAACCGGAGGAAGAAACGGTGGAGGATTCTACACGGGTCAGTATGAGTCGGTGTATGTGTTGGGTCAGTGCGAGGGTAGTTTGGGAAATTCAGATTGTGGTGAATGTGTGAAAGATGGATTTGATAAAGCTAAGAGCGAGTGTGGTGATTCCATCTCTGGACAAGTTTATCTTAATAAGTGCTTCGTTAGCTATAGCTACTACTCTCATGGTGTTCCCAACATTTCTTCACTTTCAGGTAAACAAAAAAAAAACAGATTTTGAATTGGTTGGGTAAATTAAGTGATAATTAAGCTCTAATTATACAATGAATTGGTTGATTTGTATGTTTTTATATGATACACATGAATCTTGTAAACAAAAACTAATGGAAGCAAGCCAAATAAAGGAACTAGTGGAAGCAATTAAAGACAAATAAAGGAACTAGTGGGGAAATAAGATTACTTTAGAGTAAAGAAGAGATTTTTTTTCCAAAATTTAGAATGGTGTGACACATCTTTCAGGTTACATGTGGGACTTAAGAAGAATTGTGTATTTATTTATTTTGTTTTATAAGTTTTAACTTTTGAGTGGGCATTGATGTGTATGTAGATGGAGAGAAGAGACAACACACTCAAAGAACAATAGCTTTGGTGGTGGGAGGAGTTGCAGTTTTAGG